AAATAAATTCCAACTTGTCAATCAATTACTCTAGATTCACTCAAGGCAATCTACATGTCCAACAAAGTTTAACAAACAAACAAACAAACAAACACGACCCAGACCTATAAAAGGGCCAACTGACTTAAAAGACTCCTGACATTATTCAATATTGCATCTAGTATAGGCAAAAGAATCTAAATAAATGTGGGTTTATACAAAAATGCAAACAAAGGAGCAGGAGCTGGCTATTTGCCCCTCGAGCCTGCTGCCATTTATGAATTATCTGACTGGAACCTCAAATCCACATCCTTGCCTACCACGAATCTATCTACCACTGCATTAAAAATATTTAAAGACTCTGTTTCCACCACCTTTCCAGGAAGAGAGTTCCAAGCCTATGAACAATAAGTCATATCAAGGAAAATTACTGGAATTGATGGATATTAAGCATGTTGACTCTCAAAAAGTAATACTTAATGCTGTCTTTATTTGAAGGCTTTTAGCCTTGAATGATTGATTTATTGTCATATGTACCTAAGTACAGTGAAAAGCTTTGTTTATGAGCAGTACAGGCAGATCATAGTAAGCAAGGACATACAGATCATAGGGTGGAGAAAAAAACTAGACAGAGGTATACAAGTTACATCGACAAAGCGTGCACCAGGCAAAATCAGCATTTTTGAAATCAGAACATCCATTCATCAGTCCAATAATGGCAGGGGAAGAAACTGGTTCTTGAACTTGCTGGTGCGTGTATCTTCTGCCTGACGGAAGGGGAGAGCATTGCTGGGGCGCAACGGGTTTTGATGTTGGCAGCCCTTCTGCTGCAATGGGCCTTGTAAATGGAAGATTGGCTTCTATGGCTGTGCACACAACGTTCTCTAGTTTCTTACGGTCCTGGGGACAGCAGTTGCCATACCAGGCCATTATGCACCCAGACAGTTTGCTTTCATTGGTGCATCTCTAAAAGTTGGTGTGGGGGACCTTGTAGACGTGCCAAATTTCCTGAGCAAGGTCACAAGGTCCAAGGTGTAACTATGATTTAGAGTATTAGTTAGATGACATGAAATTCTTGATAACTATGAATGATAACTCTGACTGGGCAGCAGTGAGTTCCACCTTTTGTGAGCATTTATTAAGAACTATTGATCTGAGATTGTTAAGGGCTGACAGTGAAATTTATTAGTTTGTGGAAGACAAAAGTTGCCACAAGAACAGAAAATACAACTTTTCAATTTTCATGATTTGAAGAATCTATTAGCCACTTAACTAAACAGCAGTGAAAAATAAGAGATAACAAGGTGTAGAGCTGGATGAACACAGCAGGCCAAGCAGAATCATAGGAGCAGGAAGGCTGACGTTTCGGGCCTAGACCCTTCATCAGAAATTGAAGGCAGCCTTCCTGCTCCTATGATGCTGTTTGGCCTGCTATGTTCATCCAGCTCTACACCTTGTTATCTCAGATTTTCCAGCATCTGCAGTTCCTACTATATCTAGCAGTGAAAAATAAACCTTGGTACACTCATTGAACAAACTCTGCAAACAGTACCACATCGAAAGGCAAATCAGGGCAGGGCTTACACATGTAATGGTAAGGTCTTGGGGAATGCTGCTGAACAAAGAGACCTTGGAGTGCAGGTTCATAGTTTCTTGGAAGTGGAGTTGCAGGTAGATAGAATAGTGAAGAAGGTCGTTGGTATGCTTGCCTTTATTAGTCACTACATTGAGTATAGGAGTTGGGAGGTCATGTTGCAGCTGTACAGGACATTGGTTAGGCCACTTCTGGAATACTGCATGAAATTCTGGTCGCCCTGCTATAGGAAGGATGTTGTGAAACTTGAAAGGATTCAGAAAAGATTTACAAAGACATTGCCAGGGTTGGAGGGTTTGAGCTATAGGGAAAGGTTAACTAGGCTGGGGCTACATTCCCTGGAGCATTGAAGGCTGAGGGATGACCTGATATAGAGGTTTATACAATCATGAGGGGCACGAATAGAGTAAATAGACAAGGTCTTTTCCCCGGGGTGGGGGAGTCCAAAGCTAGAAGGCACTGTTTTAAGGTGCGAGGGGAAAGTTTTAAAAAGGGACCTAAGTGGCAACTTTCACATGCAGAGGGTGGAGCATGTATGGAACGAGTTACCAGAGGAAGTGGAGGAGGCTGGTAAATTACAACATTTAAAAAGCATCTGGATGGGTATATGAATAGGAAGGGTTTAGAGGGATATGGGCCAAACACTGGCAAATGGGACTAGATTTATTTAGGACACCTGGTCAGCATGGACGATTTGGACCGAAGGGTCTGTACTCTATGACTCTATAATACGGATCATTGAAGAAGAGATAATTGTGTTTGGACTGTAGTAAGACTTTAACAATAACAGACAGGAGACGTAAATTGCTGACGGAACAACTGGGCAAGGAACTAGAAATCCTACAACAGTCGTCTTGCTTGGTTAATGCAAAATTCTGTCAGAATGAACTAAAAAATAGGAACGTGATTTGGAAAAATTACTAATCGATATTTTACTTTAAACAGCTTGCAATTGACACTTTTTCCAATTAACATATCACAAGACCGACAACCGCTCAAGAAAATCCTAAATTACACTTTACCCATTATTAGCCAAGCTTTAACCAGTAAACAATGCCACAGGAGCTGGTAAACAGAAAGTGGCTCACAACTGTTGGCACTACGCTTATAACCGACAACCAAAACAAAAATGTTGTATTAAAAAGTTGCTCGGCTTATTTACAGACGTCACTATAGAAGTTTACACTTCCAACTACCACCTGACTCAGTACCTCAACATTCCTGTTGTAACAGCAGTGGAAGCAGGACGCCACAGGGGTCTAAGTGATTCTGGTCCTCTTCTTTTCTGTCTGATTAGAGGTGTCATTTCACACATGTCAACAAACACAGTGCTACAAAAGACAAAAGAAAAGTTCAAATGGTTAGGAGGAAATTTAGAATTCCATTCACACTAGTACAGCGTGTATTTACCACCCAGGTACAAAAACACTAATTAAATTAAACTTACACCCCTCTCCCACCTTTACACCACTAAAAATCAGCCTCATTTTATCTCTTTGTGAAAAATCCCATTTTACTGTGTGAAATTTGATAATGCTTCAAAATCATAATCTCACAGTCTCTTGCCTCCTGGATCCTCCGCCATCTATATAACTCTGCTTCTAAAACTGTGACCTCGGGTATTAATCTAATCCCACCTGCGATTAACAGACCAGAGAGTGTTTGAAGCCTTAACAGACAAACCTACTCTCTTTAATTCTATGGCTCTGAAATTTTAATGGGTTCGATAACCTCATGTTAGCACTGAGATTTACCAGTTTTCAGCCTCGAAATTGAACATCTCTGATTTCCCATGTTGTGGAGAGAAATTGTTCAGATCATTCCTTAAACATGGCTGGCAACATGCTTTTCTGTTGATCTATCAAGGCAAAGGAATAATTTCATGAATAGAAAAGGTCAATTTAGGTTAAATAGTAAAGTGAAATCTGCAAAATCACAAAGGAAATTAGATTTATTTCACTCATTTGAAAAAAAGTAACAGGAGAGCAGACTTCAACTTACTCAGCTTCTGTCCATGATGCTCACCCAGGTATTGAGTGTTTGCTGTTGAATGAAATTGGCCCTTAATGCATAGTGACTTTCCTCTACTGCACACATTGAACATCATTATGCATGCATATAAAAGGTGCAAAGTTGTGTTGCCAGTGAACAGCATAAATAAATTAGTTATCTTACATACAGAGCTCTAAACCTTCTGCTAGAATATAGTGGATGACAGGAAATAACATTTAACCTGTGACGAAGAAGCGGTCACCAGCAGTATGAATTCTATCTGAATTTGTGGCAATGCAAGCAAATCAAACCATATACATTCCAGTGATGCATTTCTTCTAAGTGTTTATAAATAATATGCTGCATCAATTGTATTCTTCACAAAGCACTCAATAAGGTACCACTCAGTAGGATACTAGGTAAAATCAGGACTCAGGATCAGGGTAACGTACTATTATGGGTTGAGGATTGGTAAATGAACAGAAAGAAAGGAGGAATTAATGGGGAATTTTCAACTTCTGAGCCTGTAACTATAAGTATCAGCCCTTCGGTCTCAGTTATTTACAATCCCTTAGATGACTTAGATGAAGAGACCCGCCAGTTTGCTGACGATACAATGTTAAGTGGAAAACTAAGGGATTGGTACACAAAGTCTATAGACGGATGCAGCCAAGTTTGAGAGTGGGCAAGAGCACAGTAGATGTAACTCAACTGGGAGAAATGTGAAGTTATCCTCTTTGGTAAGATTATAAATTTAAAAGCAGATTATACAGTAAATGGTGAGGAATCGAGAAATGTTTGCATTCAGAATAAGCTGAGTATTTCTGTATATGGATCACAACACATTAATGTGCAGGTGCATCAAGCAATTATGAAAGCGAAATGCTGTAACAAAACTTTATTATAAATGGATTGGAGCATAAGAGTAAATAAGTCCTACTACAATTGTACAGGGTCACATTAATGAGGCTTCATTAAGACTAATATGTGCAGTTTTGGTCTCTTTACCCAATGAAGGACATACTTGCCCAAGAGGGCAAGACTAAATTCATCCCAGGGATGAAGGAATTGTCTTATGATTATAGACTGAAGAGATGTGGTCCATATTCCTTGCAGATAATAAGACAGGTGAGCAAATTCAAGCTTTCCCAACTATGATACTAAAATAGGTGAGAAAGCATGCAGTGATGAGAACATAAGTAGATGGACATCGATAGGCTTGGAGAATAAGCCAGAATCTGGCAGATGGAGGTTAATGTTAATAAGTGCGAGTCGTCCATCTTGGCCAGAAACACAAAAGGGCAAACGATTATTTAAATGGGAATCAAAGTGCGTCAGTGCAGAGGGATCTGGGTGCCTTTGTGCATGGATCACAGAAAGCGGGTATGCAGGTGTAGCATAGAACAGGAAAGGCAAATGGAATCCTGGCGTTTATTGCAAAAGGACTGGATTATAAAAGTAAAGAAGTGCTGTTACAATTATATAAGGTGTTGGTGAGGCCACATCTGGAATATTGTGTCCAGTTTTAGTCTCCTTATGAGAGGAAGGATGTGGTGGTACTGGAGGCAGTTCAGAGGAGGTTCACCAGGTTGATTCCAGGGATGAATGGGCTGTCAGCCGAGGAGTGGTTGAATAGCTGGGGCTTGTACTCGTTGGAGTTCAGAAGAATGAGGCGGTATCTGACTGAGGTATATAAAATACGAAAGGGGGATCGATAAGGTGGGTGTGGAACAGATATTCCCCTTGTGGGACAGTCTCGAACCAGAGCGCATAGATGTAGAGTGAGAGGAGGGAGGTTCAAATCTGAGATAAGGAGGAACTACTTCTCTCAGATGGTTGTGCATCTGCGGAACTCACTGTCCCACAGTGCAGTGGAGGCAGAACCAATTAACAGGTTCAGAAAACAGATATGTTTCTGATGTAAAGCTGGATAAAAGGCTACAGGGAGCAGGCAGCAAACTGGAGTTGAGACCAGGATAAGATCAGCCATGGTCATGTTAAATGGTGGAGTGGGCTCGAAGGGCTGAATTGCCTACTATGTTCCTAATTCCTATGTTCCTATGAACTGAAGTATTTAAAATTCTTCAGGTTAGATGAAAAAAATGTTTCCTTCGAATGGAGAATAAAGAACGTGGGATCCCAGTCTCAGAAAAAGGAGTCGGCTATTTAGAACTAAATAAGGGGAACCCTCCTCATTCAGATTAGGTGTCTCTGGAATTTTCCAACCCGAGGAGCTGAGAATGCTCAATTACTGAACATATGTAAGATAGGGATCAATAGATATGGGTAGCAAAGGATCTGGGAAGGTGGAATTGAGAGGACCAAATGGGGTACTCTGGGATTTTTCTTATGTTGCAAAATCCATTTTAAGGCTGAAGTAAATACCATGATAAAGGGATCCAAAGATCAAATTTTCCAGAACATAACAGACGCACTGTTTAAATATAGAAGGAAAACAGTGGGTCAAAATATTTTAACATGTATAAACATGCTACCTCAGTTAAATAAAAGGGCATATAGTATACAATTTAAGTAACGCTTTGCAAAGTATGTTACACAGCAAAGCTCCTAAATGACGTGGAGGGAGAATTTCTTCTCTCGGAAGGTAGTGAATCGGCAGAGTTCTTCACCTCAGAGGGTTGTTGAGACTGGGTCATTAAGTATATTCAAGAATGAGATAGACAGCCTTTTAATCAGTAAGGGATTCAAGGGTTGCGGGGAAAAGGCAGGGAAACAGAACTGAGGATTATCAGATCAGCCATGGTCTAAGAATGGCAGAACAGGCCCAACGGGCTGAAAGCCCTACTGCATTTTATGGCTTTAAGTTCAATATCCGTGTTAACACACTATTGTCTACCATAGTGCAGATTTAATAAGCATTACACAATCCTTCAACCAACCTTATTTTTATGCTTCTTGGAAGTTCTGTTCCTTTTGTCACAGCCCGTGATCAACATGCTTTGTATGTCACAAAAGTCTGTTTGTTGCCAAGCAGCACAGCATCCTGAAGGAAAGAGAAACTTTAATAATCTTCTACCTTGCATATCACCTTGCTATTGATTGACTGACTAAATAGTGAAGGTGAGCAAATGTTTACTCAAAAATTATTACAGGACACAGCATATTTTGCTTTTGCACACTTGGCTGTTTTCAGAACTAGACATGTATATAACAAATATCGCTAGGAGTAGCAAGGAAGTAAACGATAGGACAAATATATGTGGATTCAGGGCAGAACAGAGTTAATGGGTTGAAAGCCTTTTCCTCTCTTTGGAATTTCACACTCTTGAAATGTATGCGGCAAAATCTGAAGTTAAAAATCCAAATCTTTTATGAAGAATGATGTTCTTCCAATTTAAGATATCAACACAAAGCTCATTTGTTACTTACTTTTGCATTTTTCCTTTAAGTATGTGGAAAACCCATCATTCAAGGCAACTTCTCCTCTGTAATTGGCAAAAGAAATAAAAATATAAAGTTACTTGGAGGATCCCTATTATCTTAAAAGGTAATGAACTGTACTTTGCTCAGAAATGATGGGGAGGCTACCAATGCACATAGTTGTTAAAGGCTCAACCACACTGGAAATCCTCAAAACTGCAGACATGCAGTTAAACATGAAATTAGGAAGTTGCTGCTACTCCAGAACCTGTGTTGTATCTTGCTGAGAGATCAAGCATTGAAACACATGGAACAGTGCAAAATTACCCAATAAACGCAGCAGAAAAAATTCATTCTAGTCAAAGAAAACAATTTAATAATTCGAGAATTATTCATTTTAGCCAAATAATCTAATTGAAATACAAAAATAAGAATGGAGTTACGTTCATTTTAAACAAACAAAATTAGTTTACTGTATTATTCCTCTCTATATTGTCTTTCTTCCCCTTGCAGCGTGTTTTCTTTAATTCATTTGATACTGACTTAAACATTTTGATTTGTACAGTACATTAACAACTTTTCAATCTGATTGTTTGAGATTCAGTTACATGCAGCTCACACAGGTCCCAGATCCCCTGTAGAGAGCCCTACATGACATGATTCCATAATTGCAGTAATTTCCAAAGCAGAATCTGACAGAATGCCTGTGGACAAGCACACGTGTAAAGAATGGTTGATGCAGTTTGACCACTGCAGAGCACATAATCCAGACCACTTATTTTTACAAACATAACTATAGAAATTCTTATCAACTATGCTATGAACTTGCACTCGTGAAATCAAGTCATTGCTTCAGAAAAATTGGTTTATAATGTAATCAGAACAGTTGTGTAGCCTGATCAAAAATGCTTTCTGCTGCTACACAATAAAAAATGTTATACAGCAGACTAGAAAACATACCCAGAGTTATTCAAGATGGACAATCTTTGGAGATACCATTAGTGTGGAACCACTGTTGATGCTCTAATGCATCAGTGAACTAGATTTTTCAAGCAATCTCAATTACTAGGATGTTGCCTGGTATGGAGGGTATTAGCTATAAAGAGAGGTTGGAGAAACTTAGGTTGTTCTCACTGGAACGACTGAGGTTGAGGGGGGACCTGATAGAGATCTACAAGATTATGAACAGCATGGACAGAGTGGACAGTCGGAAGCTTTTTCCCAGGGTGGAAGAGTCAGTTACATGGGGCCATGGGTTTAAGGTGCGAGGGGCAAGGTTTAAAGGTGATGTACAAGGCAAATTTTTTTTTTTTTTTTTTGTTTTTATACAGAGGGTGGTGGGTGCCTGGAACTCGCTGCCGGGGGAGATAGTGAAAGCAGATACTAAGGTGACCTTTAAAGGGCGTCTTGACAAATATATGAATAGGATGGGAATAGAGGGATACGGTCCCCGGAAGGGTAGGGGGTTTTAGTTGTGACAGGCAGCATGTCGGTGCAGGCATGGAGGTCGAAGGGCCTGTTCCTTGTACTGTAATTTTCTTTGTTTCTTTGTAAATTAAGTAACAAAGGCCTGACCACACAAATGTTTTCAACGCATCTAATATTAATAAACTAATGATTTTTACTTGATAAGTTTAACAACTAAGAGCTCCTGCCTAATTAAATACATAAACAGGCACTTCTGTGAAACCAGTGGGGCTCCTTGCATCCCAACACAAAACACAGTTTCCTGTGCGGCTTTGCAATCCATAAACCACACCTCACTCAAGCATGGAAACATTCCAGCAACCTGTCCTTGGGTCTCTAATGTGCCTGTCTTCTCCGTCGCCCACCAGTTATACAGTATATGATTTAAAAAAACCCCACTAACTCCAGAATATTAACTGTTAGATGAATAGTGGTTGACACTGACTGCTTTATTCCTGTGGGATATCAGCAATGTAGAAAAACAAAGTTGAGTAAAGTCCTTATTAGCTGTATTGCAAACATTCAGAATTATCGTTCACTAGCATTAAAGATTTAAAAGATGAATTCCGGATGATGGGAACATTGAAAGGGAATAATGGATCCAATGCTTCATTAAAGCTAGTTCAAGACTGACCTGAAGGTTCTCTTATGTACTCACAGGGAGAATTCCCAGATTCAAATAGAAACCTTTGGTTTGCACCACTGGTTTCTAAAACATACATTCATCTTGTGGCCAAGACAAATCGAGTTGCGTTCTCCCAGCCGCCACGAGTATTTCTCATGCAAACAGCAGATTAAGGAATCAACAGCCCCTATTCCCAGTGTGCCAAACAGCTAGGAAATTACTGTACTTGGAATCCAATTATGCTACAAACAGTGCCATGCATAGTGGCAAGAATGGAAGTAAACATTACCCTGGTCTTTTACAAAGTTATGGGCATGAGAACATAAGGGCAACCCCTAGTCTAGTACCCTACACACACTATGAACAAAACATTATTAAAGATTACAGAAGACCCAAATAATTGTATCTGAAGAAACCATTAAGCTTTGCAAGCACACAGTACATATCTACAAAGCACGATCATATCAGCACAAGAAAAATGTTCGATAAATATCTAGACGCTAATAAAACCTAGAATCCATTGAAAATTTTACTTTTTATTTTAAAAGCAAGTAAGTTGCTGTATTCCCCAATTTTGTTTCTACCCTAAGGCACATCAGATACTTTTCTTGAAGATTATGAATAAATTCAACCCAAAATTAATTTTTTCAGCAGTACCTACCTTGTGATACTTTGACAATGCTCTTCATTGCTGCATGCCTTCTGTTCTCTTGAAGTTTTATTGAAGTTCTGCTGGATCGGGATCTGAAATGCATAAAAACAGCAGAGAAAATGTCACTATATTATAATAGGCTCATTTGTTTTCCTGTTCCAGAGTTTGAGGGCAGAAAATGTAAGAATTCATTCGAAACAGTGTGCTGAATTTTATGGGGCACCATGATTCCAGCACCTTGGGCTAAAATATCAGGATCAGGGGCCACCCACGATCCTGACATCTGTTCAGCAGCAATTTAAAGCTGTGAGCACCACTTAGTGTTTCATAGTGAGCCTTGCATCTCTTTCTCAACAGGTGGTCCCATCTGACGGGTCATTGCTGGGACTATGTGCAGCCTCCAATGTTGGGGAACCTGCACTGATATATAAGTACAGGGTATTGAGATGATAACAGTGGGCAGAGGGGTAGAGAATGGTGGACTGGAGAGATCAGATGTGATGGGGCGCTGCTTCTGATGGGCCAGTATATGGACATTCTCCCAGCTGGATTTTATGCTCAGCTCTTGCCCGACTGGCCTTCCAACTGCTCTGGGAAGCATAAAATACAACTCGATAAATCTGTGTGCCTTATTTCAATGACTATTCATCTGAATTGCCGTATGTCTTGTTTATTCCATATTTTATATTGAACTTGTGTGCATTAAACTATTAAACTACCAATTACATACCTTTACATTACTCTCTACGTTGTCTCGTTTGTAAACCAGACTGAAGGGCTTACGATCTATTGGGCAGCAGTTTCTTTTCTGTGAAAAGAGGTACAAATTTGTTTGATTTCTGAGTTACTTCACATGCTTTTTTTATAAAAAAAAGCATAGTAATTATTACATCTGACAAATTACATCAATAATTAATTGGTTGCTAAGTCTTCATCACAATTGCCCAAACTCTATCATGGAATGAGCTGTGCCACTGACACTTGGACACTTCCCACAGAATCCTAGATAAGCCTATGGTCTTCTCTTTTTCCTAATTCTTGTGTTTGTTTTCATGAAAGGATAGGAAAGGGAAAAAGAGATGCAAGAGGAAAAAGTGATGTGAACTTATTGTAGAGTCATTCTGCCACAGGGGGCGGCCAGCTGGCTGACCAAGTCCATGACAGATCTCTGTACAGTCATCAAGTAATTCCTATTCCCCACTCTATCCCTACAGCCCTGCAAGTTTAGTCCCCTCTAGAGCATTTCCAACTTCCTTCTGAAATCTGATTGCCTACAAGGTTGGTGGAAGTGGAGACAATGAGTTCCAAGTCATTGCCACTCACTGTAGACAAATGTTATTCTTCACATTTTCTCTGCACCTCTCACCCATAACCTTGTGTTCATGTATAACACCATGGTTGCCTAAAACTTCTCAATAGCATATCTTGCAGATGAATTAATACAGTGAAAGCAGTAATTACTTGATGTACAAGTTCCTACAAGCAATAAGTTAAATATTAATCTATTTTTGATGGTCAGGGATAGCTCAAAATAGAAAAAAAACTTAATGTTTCTGGAACATAACTTTTCTGAAGAAGGGTCCAGACCCGTAACGTCAGCTTTCCTGCTCTTCTGATGCTGCCTGACCTGCTGTGTTCATCCAGCTCTACACCTTGTTATCACATAACTCAACTTTTGTTATGAATAGCCAGGTTTCAGTAATTCTGCTTGAAGTTCTTCCAATATCTGATGTTTGCTCAGAATGAAAAGTCTAGTTTCACAATGTGTTTGAATATTTTAGTGCAGAGATTTGGTGAGAAGACTCAACTAATTGTTAAATTCAATCAGAATAAGAATTTTGTTCCCACATTTATCAGCAAGTATTCAATTCAAACCAAACTATATTTATTAAAGATAATAGTTGATCAATTATGAATTTACAAACACATGTAGTAGTATTCAACAACTCCTAGGCTTCATGTCATTAGATTAACAAAGGTCAACATTAAATCCAAGATGCTGACACAATAAGCAACATAACGAATATTGTCTCCAGTGTGTACATTTGTACATCTATAAAAAGTATGCCTTTCAGATCATATGCAACAGCATCCACCAACAAAAGCTGTTAAATGAATGAGAGCAAAAAAGACTGCTGACAGTTTTAACATTGCTCAAAGGCATCACAAATGGCATCAAAATTCAGGGATTGGCAATGTACATGGCAAGTGTTAGAATTTTACTCTTCATTCACTCACTTTCATGAGAATTTGAATCACATCCGAGTTATCAGCTGAAATATAACAGGACTATATCAATCTGTTCACATTAAAAAAAAAACACGATTTTTAAGGTGCAGGCAGAAGACCTTCAACAAACTGCTACTTTTAAGAAAGAAATTGCATTCCAATGTTCTTGTTCCTATTAGCTTTTCTAAGTTATAATCCCAGTACAGACCAAATTGTCAAGCTCAAATAGAAAACACGGCAAAATCTACAGTGGTTTCATGCAAGTTATAACTTGTAAATATAGTTGGAACTTGTGTGCGTCACCGTATTTCAGTGCATACCTATTGGCTGGCACCTGTGAAAATGAGTGTGACCAATACAAACATATTTTATCATTCCTATTGTTGTAAGGATTGCCTGGAAATTTTTGGCATAATTTGGAAGATTTCTACTACAATTTGCATTTAAAAAGAAAATCTGATGAATGTTTACTCCAAACATTGGATTTTCATTAGTACATTGGATTAGAAATGTACAGAAATTTTAGCTGCTCTGTAAACGAAAATGCCTTTATCATTGATTCATAGAATCCCTACTGTGTGGAAACAGGCCCTTCGGCCCAACAAGTCCACACTGACCCTTGGAGAATCCCACCCAGACCAATCCCCTTTAACCCACTTAAGCTACACATCCCTGAACACTACGGGCAATTTAGCACGGCCAATCCACCCAGCCTGCACATCTTTGGACTGTGGGAGGAAACCAGAGCACTCAGAGGAAACCCACGCAGACACGGGGAGAATGTGCAAACTCCACACAGACAGTCGCCCGAGGGTGAAATCAAACCCGGGTCCCTGGCGCTGTGCAGCAGCAGTGCTAACCACTGAGCCACCGTGCCGCCCCACAGCCAGAGATAATTGGGATGCCAAAGTAAAGGCTGAAAGAAGCTTACCTGCTAAATTTCTGTCCAGCATTATTCACCAAGATATTTCAGTTTTCACACTGGAACTTAACTGACCTCCTTCCTTCACCCCAGTGTCCCTGCCAATCCCTCAGCCAGAACCCCTGGGGTAAAGAGTAGACATCAGTGGTACAAATACTATAAACCAGGAAATATCAGCACATAGAATATTCTGTGGGACCCAACACTGCCAGCACTTTCACACAAACATAATTTCACTTAAGAGATTTAATTTGTAACATTGGCAACAGCAAAACAGTTGCCGTTGTTCAGCATTGCTCACTTCACTTTGTGAATCAGGCAAATTTAAATTTCAGACATTAAAAAGCAAAAACGAGTAGTTTAGAGCCTCAGGCACTGGGTGGCCTGTTAAAATATTCTACTCAGTAACAGCAAATATTTCCTGATTTACAGTCTGCAAACTGCACATTTCTCCCCTTATCAAAATGGGACACATTTGATAGGAATACAGCAAGACTAAAAGGTAACATGCAGGCCACTTCAGCTCTCTGCAATAATGCGCCTGGAAAAATCTTTTATTAATGGTGTAAATATAGTATACACTATGTTAAACATCTTTAACAAAAATAAGTTCATCACGCTTAAACTGTAAGTGCTTCTTGGGGCCTTATTTCAATAATGAGTCTTACTTTATCTGCCCCAAAAGAACTACTCTCAAAATAAAAATATGAATTGCAGTTTATCTAACTTCCTTAGAGAAGCTATCAACAAATCCATTCGAAAAATGACTAGGACCTGGTCCATCAACTCATCTTTCTAACGAAATGCTAAAGCAATTAAGTTTTAAGCACAAACAGCATTCAAATTGAGTTTCAGCAGTCTTATGTGCTAGTTGTTAAAACTCAATGCTAAAAGCAGACCTCACCCACAACCCCATGGAGAGTTGATCACAATTGGGAGTTTCTGGTAATTTCATTCATTTACAGGTCTGTGAAGAGGTTCCAAACAAACTATGAGCATAGATCAAGGTTAATATATTTAGGAAAGGTTCTGAATAAATTCATTTTTAAACTTAATAAGGAACTTACTAATGTATTCCAATTTTACTGGAAGAGAGATTTGTATATTTTTTAAAATTAATTTTCAATAATTTAAAATTGAATTATCACAGGAAATGGATTTCAATTGCTTTAAAAGTGTTTTTTGGAGATAAATCAATTTTCAGCTGTAGTGGCCAAACTTTACTAAATTAGCATTCTTAAATATAATCAAATAATATTTTTCAAAGCAATGCATTTTTTAATACCACGTTTGAAAATGCTGCCAAGGCAGATTTTTGTTTGGTGATATGTTGATGAGTTTGAGCAGAAATCTGCGACTGGAGGAGAGACCCACACTCTTCAAAAAGGGGCGGCTTGCACCAGAATACCATTAAATATTTTTTCACTTAATTAATCATGCTTGGCATATAATTCCAGAATAACTATTGCTCATGATGAAATAAAGTTTTAACTATTTAGTTTGAAAATTGCTTTTCACTCATCTATACTTTCAAATCCCACTCTCCTGGCTTGTTTAAAATAAACATTTTGGATTTGTCTTGACTATGTCAATTAATATATTATTTGCACATCTGTCAAGTTTCCCTTCTTATTACCCCCCAAAACCAAGGTTGCGAATGTCAAATATCTCCATCATTTGATTACATTTTATATCTGTTTACACTTAACCAGTCTTGCTACTATTTTCTGCTCTCTTTCTAATGTGTTTTTATTTAGTGGTGAAAACTGAGCACATAACTTCGAATGTACTCTAATTACAGCAATATTAAAGTTTAACCTTGCTTCTAAAACTTGTACTATATGGTTCTGCAAAAGTAATTCCAAAATTCTATTAGCTTTTCAAAAATTATTTTGCCACACATAATGAAAATAAGTCTACCATCACTTTGAAATACCTTTCTAAATGACCCTCATGTAACTTAATGCAGATTTTTTAAAAACTAATGGTCAAAATTCTACATCTTTCAATGTTTAAATGTGAATCTATAGAACTTTTGTTGCACCTTGTCTCTCCCTCGCTTTAACTCATCGAATAATTTTCACGACTTTATCCCTTTTAAATATCACACTATTTCTCCAATTAGGAAATTATGACCAGATTCTACTGTGATCTGGATTAATCATCTTTTTAGTGTTTATTTTCATTTAATTAACAAGAATTTTGGACATATAATTTTAAAATATTATTGGGCCAGATTTTACTGGAGTGAGAATCGCATGGTGTTAATTAATTATTTTGCTGCATTAATTTCATAGCATCTTTGGGCTGTTAATTACTGAATGTGTGAACAGAAATTGGAGGAAGAAAACTAACATCATCTTAAACAACAAGATTTTTGAGGTCTGAAAAAGAAATGGGAACAATGCAGGAGAGTGAAATCGTGTGTGAATTAGTGTCAAATCAGGTAGACAGAAAGTAAGGAAAGGGTAAGCAAGATGGCACTGAAAGAAAGGACACAAAGAAAACAAATGTTTTAAAATCTCAACCAATTGCAGGAATATGATTAACTGGTTCTCATTCTGGATCATTGAGATTGACAATGTGATGCTTGTTAAATAGATGCTTATGCTTTTAATTATCAGGTGCAAATTTCTGTGGCACTTTTAATGGCTGTTAAAACCATTCAATGAGACACTGGCTGATCAGTGGTCCAACTCCATATATATTTCCTTAATATCTTTGGTGAACAAATATTTATTTTAAAATTTACAATTTATCTAGCATTCGCTGCCATTTGTGGAAGAGAGTTCCAAACCTGGCTCACTTTTTGCATGTAGAATTTCACTTCTGAAAGGACCGGTCCTAAATTTTAGATTACGCCCCTTGTTCCACAATCCACAACCAGCCAATACAGTTTCCTTCTATCTATCGTTTAATATCTTCAAGCTTCAAACGTATTGAACTGAAATATCGAAACTCCAGGGAATACAATCCTAGTTTATGTAACTAACACAGAGGTTAAAGACATCTATGCAAAGGAAACAGCGTAGAAATCCAAATTCAGCAGCAGGTTCTGGGGCTTTGTAATCCAAGGTGCATCTCTCGAAATTCTGACTTTTTAAAAAAAAAGTGTATTAATTGGATGTGTCCATCACTGGCTCGGCCAGTACTTACTGCCCATTCCTAATTCCTCTCGATAAGGTCATGGTGAGCCTTGAACTACAATAGTCAATGTCTACAATAGTAGACAGACCCACAATGCCATTAGGAAGGGAGTTTCAGGATTTTGACTTGGTGACAGTGATGGAACAGTAATATATTTCTAAGTATGGTGTGCGAGCTTGGAGGGATAACATATAAATCAAGGAGCGATAGGAGACCATTCAGCCCTTCCACCCTGCTCCACCATTCAATACAATCATGGCTGATCGTCTATCTCAATGCCATATTCTTGCTTTCTCCCCATACCTCTTGATGCATTTAAAATCTAAAAAAATTCCTGCTTGAATATATTCAGTGACTTGGCCACCACAGATTCCGAGGTAGAGAATTCCACAGGCGGACAACCTTCCGAGTGAAGAAACCTTTTCTCATCTCAGTTCTAAATGGTATATCCAATATTCTGAGACTGTGACACCTGGTTCTAGACTCCCCAGCTAAGGAACATATCCTCTCCGTCTAGTCCCGTTAGAATTTTATATCTTTTAATCAGATTCCCTCTCATCCTTCTAAACTATAATGAATACGGACACTTGCAAGTGACGGAGTTCCAAAGTATTTGCTGCTTTTGTCCTTCTTGGTGATACAGGTTGTGGTTTGGAAAGTGCTGATGATGGAGACTTATTGCAGTTCACTACACAGTGGCAGCAGCGTGTACCATCTATGTGTCAGTGCTGAAGCGGGTGAGTGGTGAAGGCAGTACATGGGCTGCTTCATCCTGGACGGTGTTGAGCTCCAAGTGCTGTTGGAGCTGCACTCATCCGGGCAGGTTGACAGTATTCCATCACACTCCTCACTTCAGCCTTTTCAATGGTGGACAGGCTTTGAACAGTCAGGGCACAAATAACTTACAGCAAGATTCCCCAGCCACCAAACTGTTCTTGCAGCCATAGTAGATTTGCCACTCGTAAATTAATCAGGCTTGTGCTGCGTAGATATCATTATTATACCAGAAAAACCTGGCCCATTATGAGTTATATTCAAGAAGACACAATGTTGGATTGCCAATCTCTTGTACAAAATGTCAACGTTCACATAAAATGTCACAGCTTATTCAAAACATGAAGAACGCATCTCCCTTTTTCACTCTTCTTCCTCCATCTACCCCCCACCCTGATGTCCACATGACAGTTTAACTAATGTCTGCATCTGAACATATGTTTTGAGCACTGGTGCTTGTTTGGTTCAATTATTTCATCTTACAGATTTAATACATTAATTTTATTACAGCACTCATTATATGCAATCAAATTAGGTTCACTGTATTCATTACCATGATATTTTCATTTCACGTCCAAACATGAATTTTTAAAAAATATATAATTATATACAATTTAATTTTAATTAACATTTTCTTACTTCAGCCCAAGCAAGAATGCACCTCAGGCAAAAAATGTGACAGCAGCTCTCAGGAACAGCTACTTCTTGGTCCACAAAGTGGTTCAGGCAGATAGGACACCAGTTAACTTGATCAGTTGTTGTTGCAGCCAACACCCCATTATCAGCACATTCTTGTTCACCCTCACCTGTTGAGAATCAGAAAAGAAAAGTCTCAAAGAGTACAATGTAGACAACAGTCAACCACAATGAGACTATACAAAGAGGCGAACATTAATTTATGTTATTAATTCAACTGACCTCATCACCTTAAAGCATGATCAATAATATCAATTATAGAAATACAATTATTATACTGCTTGGCAATGGTTGATGTAATTCATCCGGCTGTACATCTTCAGTAACGAAAATAGTTAACAAATCTTTATTTTGCAGGTGTTTTAAAATTAACACTTTTACTTTTCACATTTCATTTTTCTATCTTTTACATTCATACACAATTTCTGCCAAACTGCAATTTCACCACATGCCCTAAGCTTAGAATAATACAATACAGAAGGAAGCCTATTGGCCCATCAAGTCAGTACCGCCAAAAGTACACTACTACTTACACCAGTCTCACTTTCCTACACTTGGCCCATAGCCTTGAATGTTATGACACTTCAAGTATTCATCCAGGTAATTTTTAAAGGTTGTGAGGTTTCCCACCTCAACTATCCTCCCTGGCACTGCATTCCAGATCTCCAATGCCATCTGGGTAAGAAAGCTTTTCCCCAAATACCCACTAAATCTCCACTCTTCTCTGTAAAATTACATCTCCTTGCATTTGACACTTCGACTAAGGGGAACGTTCTTTGCTCCAAAGAAAACAACCTGAGCTTATCCAGCCTCTCTTCATAGCTAAACAGCTCCATTCCAGGGAATATCCTGGTGGACCTCCTAAGTAACCCCCACCTGCAAGCACGTTGTTCCTATAGTGTGGTGGCCAGAACTGCAGTATTCTACTTGTGGCCTAACCAAAGATCTGCATAGCTCCAACATGACCTCCCTGCTCTTATAACCCAATTCATAACTGAAAAATACCAAGCACCCCATATGACTTCTTATCTATCATGTTAATCTGTCCTACTACCTTCAGGGGCGGACAAGCTCTCCAAGATCCCCGAGATTCCTAGCATCATTGAGTACTCCCTCATCTTGTTCCTTCTTCCACAACCTTATCTGCATCATTTATGAATGTCACAAACAGTAAGGGATCCAGCACTGACCCAACGGATCCAGGCCCTGTGGTATGCTAGTGCACACTGAGCTCCACTCTCACAAACAGCCTGGACCACCACCTCAGTCTCCTGTCACTAAGCAATTTAGATCCAACCTGCTAAGCTATACTGGATTCCATGAACTTTTACCTTCTTTATCAGTTTCCCATGTCATGCCTTGTCAAAGGCCTCGCTAAAATCCATGTAAGCTACATCAACTGCTTGCCTTACATCAAGAAATCCACTAGATGCTTGGAGGTTAATTTCCTAAATGTTAAAGATATTTCAAAATCTTGAGATGCAGTGGCTAAAATTATTTGTAATACCTCATTACTGAGGGGACATCTTGCAAATATGTACTCAAGTGGATAAAACCTAACACTTAACAGCACAGAAAGGGTACATAATTACAGCTTTCATAGCTAGTTATGAGTCTTTTAGATTTTTGCTCCAGTTTTTGAAAATGCTATTCATTCTTTTGCCGCTTTTATACTTCCAGATACTTTTACTTGAGGAAATCTTTGTGAAGCCTCAAAATCAACCTTTGAATGTGTTTGCATTAATATACATTGATCACACGCTGCATATACTAACAGACCTGATCTGATTCAAATGTGCGCAAACCACCTGTTACCTCCATTGCTTCCACAGTACCAGATGTATTAAAAAATAATTCCACAGATGCCACTGTTTTCAAGAACAATAATCTTTCCCAAACTCTGGTAATACTCTACCAGATTAGCTGTATAGGAGGAGACGGATTCAGGTACATATCCCGCTGCTATCAAAGCAATATAGTTACCTCTCTAATACAAGTATTCACAACAACATAAAAATTCACTCGATCCCAGACAAAGCTCATTTATTCTGCCAAATTCAAAGTCACAGGTAGCCAATATGTGAATCTGCTATTTGACAGTTTTACATACAGCTCAAATGAGTACTTGGCACAAGATAGAGATAGCACGCAAGATTGAATATTACCATCTGAAACATAAATAAAGACATCAGGTAAGGGTTATTCACTAATCCTCCTATTGTAGTAGCTGCAATTCAATTTATAATATTTGAAAGCAGTATCAACTTGAAAGTCAATAAGATAATTGAGTATGATTAAGTAGTCTATAAAAGGATTGGTTTTGATTCTTTAAATCAGCTAAGTTCCATTCTAAACTTTCAGTGGGCCTATGAATCAGAAGTGTTTATAGAAGTAACTTTCTGAAGTGAAGTTGCTTTCTCTGCAGTTTAGTGTGGTTGGTCCACTCCTCACCTGTTACAGCTGTACATCATATTTTCAAGTCAATTTTTCTCTAATAGCAGATTTTCACGGTGACAGCTACTAACATTCACACTACTTTTTCTTGGAGTGATTTTAGACTATATGATATACCAGCCTCAGTGCAGTATAGTATCACTGCAGCAAATACACAATTATTTCGATTGTTTAGCAAATGAAATACAGCAATGCAGATCAATGAATTATGTAGAAAATGATGGAGAGACAAGCATGATTGATAGCAGCAATGCTACAAAAATGCTGGTTAATATGAGATGCATTAAAGCCCAGCCATTCATAAATTCACTTACCTACGCAAACTATTCTGTGTACCATATTGCCTGTATGGCTGCTTAACTGTGATTTCTAGGAACTAGAACCTTAGCCCAGATGGGAAGAGACTTGATAATTCACTTGTGATGTTGGATCTAGGACCACGCCTACCCGTTCCAAAGAAAAGAGTAAAGTGGCAGTAATAACCCTGTTTTCAGGCACGCATCCAATGGTCTGTGTGTGTGAAGATGTAATGCTGTATGAATGCTGTGTGATTTGAAGTTGTATCAGTTAGTTTAAATCTCAAGATATTAGCATATTTGAAGGATGATTTAATAGCAACTGTCTAAATTTGTTCCAGCTTTGTGAAAGGAATTGATGGAGAATTCTTGAGCAAGAAATCTGAGAAGGAATTGGAGAAGCTCCAACTTGAGGAGAAGGAAGAAATGAAAATCAGATGGTGACAAGGTCTTTGAATGGACAACACAGGCCACTGATGATGAAGAGATGGATAGATATTGAAGGTACACAGGAAATCAATGAAGCCATGAGAAGCCAGTTAAAGGGATTATTAATAAGAGTGACTAACCATAACAGGGATTTCACTCACAAGCAGAATAATTAATTTCTCCAATAGAAAATCTTCACTTGTAATGTAAACCTTACATTCAGATCATTTTGCTTGCTAAGAACCTATCAAATTGACTCCTATTAAAAAAACATACTTGCTGTTTGTGACATTCACTGAGAATGCATCCTCTAAATAGCAGGACTTTTAAATACACATTGACCTTACAGTGAGCATGCATGTCACATTTGAATAGTCACCTGAAAGTGTATCAAACATAATGGAAAGGAATCATTTCATGCTAGTTTCACCTAACCTACGGCTACCAATTTATCCACCAATCCACAATTGGATTATTTAAGATTTAGAGCTAATAAGTAAATTAGAACTGAAATATGCTTCCCCCTCAATGGATTCCCAGATAAAGACACTATATTGAGCAACATTAATTGATACAGATCAGGAACAATCTTGTTCAAACAGTGCTCTGTGCAGGCTGAGCACACCTAGTGCATAACTGACTTTAGATTATTCAGAGAAGGCCAACATTCTCTGAAGTGATTGTTCAGTACATTTGCCGCTGCCGTTAAAGTTACAGGCATGCCCAGAGGCACCAGAAACCTCGTACTATTGTCGAAGAGAAAAGGTCTGTTCTGCAGAATCTTTCAAATGGCCTTTTATGGAGAACATATATTCAGTGATATTCAGATCTGAACTCTGAACCACTTTTATACTTGAGCTCCAAAGCTTGTGATCTGAAGCACAATGAAATTAGGATTAACATGCACTGGGGTAGCTCACTGTAAATAAAGATGTGCTTTTCCCACAGTCATAAAAGTTAAAAATTTTATCAAGTTACACAAAGGTTTGGTATGCTTGCCTTTATTGGTCAGTGCATTGAGTATAGGAGTTGGGAGATCATGTTGCGGCTGTACAGGAAATGATTAGGCCACTTTTAGAATATTGAGTGCAATTCTGGTCTCCCTGCTATAGGAAGGATGTTGTGAAACTTGAAAGGGTTCAGAAAAAATTTACAAGGATGTTGCTGAGCTTGGAAAGTTTGAGCTAGAGGGAGAGGCTGAGTAGGCTGGGGCTATTTTCCCTGGAGCGTCAGAGGCTGAGCGGTGACCTTATAGAGGTTGACAAAATCATGAAGGGCATGAATAGGGTGATTAAACAAGGTCTATTCCACGGGGTAGGAGAGTCCAAAACTAGAGGGCACAGGTTTAAGGAGAGAGGGAAAAGATTTAAACAGACCTAAGGGGCAACTTTTTCATGCAGACAATGATGCTTGTATGGAATGAGCTGCCAGACAAAGTGGTGGAGGCTGGTACAATACAACACTTAAAAGGCATCTGGATGGGTATATGAATAACATATGGAGAGAGATACGGGCCAAATGCAGGCAAATGGGACTAGAGTTATTTAGGGTATCTGGTCAGCATGGGCAAGTTGAACTGAAGGGCCTGTTTCCATCTTGTACATCTATGACTCTATGATCTCCCAATTTATCCATCAAGTTCCCCAATTTAGGCCCAGGCAAACAGTGAATTTCGATAGAGGTAAATGGCAATGAACTGTCGCTAAATAACTAGTTAAAACTGCAACTCTTTTATAAAAACTCTCCATTACTAACACAGACAAAAAAGGGTGGAAAGAAAAATCTGGGAAGGCAGTTCATGGTCATTGGTGCTATAAGATGATCCTCTTGCTTGCTAGGACTTGCTGCTTTTCAATCGCTCTTCTCCAGGTAATTTACACTTTCTTGCAGGAAGCACAGAGATGGTTTGCTGACAAATTATAAACTCTCGGACTTATTAAAAAATAACTTGTTAAAAAATAACAGCTTACTGCAATTTGTGAGGGAAAATAAACCAGCTTTCTTCAGTCATTTCCTACTGCAGAAAGAAACACTGATCCACAGCTGATCATAACTCCAGAAGCTAATCACCTACATGTTGCCAGCCAAATCTTACTTCATACTCAGCCTCTAGCTCCAGACTGTCTGCAAACCACCTCCATCATCAGCTGAACAAAGTAGGAGTTTAGACACCTTATGATGAGGTTTAGTAACTTGGGTTTTAATAAAGAGCTGTAATCGCTTCCACAATTCTTGGCTTTTAAACAGTCCTTTTCCCATTTCAGTCCACAACTAAATATATATGAAAAATAAAAAGATATTTCTTCGTCATAATATTAATACTTAATTTGCTCTACCATTTTTAAGGACATATATAATTGCATAGGAGGCCATTGAGAAGATTTGCTGAGCTGGCTCCTGGGATCAAGGGTTTGTTGGAAGAGGAAAGATCAAGCAGGTTAGGTCTATACTCTTTGGAATTTAAAAAAAAAGGTGATCTTACAGAAACAGAAGATTCTGAGGAGCTTGAGGGAATGTTTCACCTTGTAGGAGAATCCAGAACTAGAGAAACAGTTTCAGAGTATGTGATCATCCATTGAAGTCAGGGATGAGGAGGAATTTCATCTCTTGGGATGGTTGTTGAATATTTGGAATTCTCTGCATCATAAGACCCAAGAGGTTTAGTCATTGAATATATTCAAAGCTGATATAAACAAATATTTCAACTACAGCAGCCCGGGATTATTGGGAACAGACAGAAAAGCAGACAGAGGTCAAAATCAGTTCAGTCATGATCTTATTCAATGGTGGAGTATGTTTGATGGGCTGTACAACTTACTCCTGTTCTTGTTTATGTTCTAAACATAATTCAACTACAGATTTTAACTAGTTTTTTTTTAAAAAGGCAGGAGCTTAATCCATGCGCATTTCATTCTGAATTTCTTTTTACTACATTGCAA